ACATTATACAAATGCAAAACCACACTATTCATTTTTTAAATAATTAACAACAAGATAATGATGAAAACACATAACGATTATTTAAGAAAAAAAAACAAATTTAATGACTGAAGTGACCCTGTTAAAAGATTTGTAGATAAAAACAAACAAATTTTGCAATTTTATGGGCTAAAACAAAACGACATAATCTACAAAAATAATAAAAGAAGAAGAAGAAGAAGAAGAAGTATTGTGGAAGGAAAATAAACAATCAATTTGAATTAAAGAATTAAGAAAAATAGAGAAATCATGATTTGATGTGGTTTCAAAAGAGGCCTAATGATCTGATTTGCATCCACAAAGGATTAGGAAGCAGCAATTATATTGATAAATAAGGGAGCCAAGTCTAAGTCCACTCAAAGCAGTGGGATGCAAAGGAAATGCACCATCCAAACCCTAATTATTAATCTCCTCACTCCTCAACACACAATTTCATTTCATTTATTATACATTAAATATAATTAAATGGATTTGATTTCCCACCAAATATCATTGCCGATGCTTTTCTTGAAAAGAAAAAAAAAATCAATTGAATGGGTTTCTTTTTTTAAAGTCCACTGAAGAGAAGCATATGGTTCCAAGGCATATGGGCACCAGAAATTAAGTTGATTTTGATTATTTAAATAAAGAGAAAACTACACAACATGTGATGGATGGATGGATGTTGAGCCCTTTTCGACTTCCCAATCCCAACATTAAAATTGATCCATGTTCATTGTTCCTGAAAGAAAACCATTTAATTTGTTATGCAAAATTTGATGCATACCCTCTACTTGGCTTCCAAGTTCCAAGGCCTGAATTCCCCATATGCTCTCCATTTTAAAAGAATCCTAATCCTTGATTAACTTTGAGGCTGGGTGGAGGAGGAATTTGAATTTGAATATGTTGGAAGTTGGAAGTTGGAAGTGTTTTTTTTAGAAGCATTACAAGATTTTGGCAGCATTAGGCGGCAAGGCAACTTAAAGGAGAGGCATTTATGGAACTTTTTGGGAAATAAAAGCACCATCTTGTGTTCTGCTTCTGCCACCACTGGGTGAGACCAATAGGTCTTGAGTGATCCCCATAATGAGAAAAGCCAATGATGCTCATGGATTTGGATGGGGCTTAAAACCAGATTGTTATTAACCCTGACATGCCCAGAAAACCAGAACAACCACAACCAAAAACAATGCAAATACTGACACATCATATTGCCTTGGGCTTACACACATGGTTTGACTTACCCAGTCACCACCTTTTCTTTTAAATTCGATCTATGGAGATCAGAGTTGGGGTAAACACCCATTTAACTCAACTTATGGTTAAGTTTCGTACTTCAACTTTCAAGTTTATATCTTATAAGCTAAGCTTTTAGGCTTTTGAAGAAGTATCTAATAGATCATTTACTAAAGTCGTAAAAAAGTCACACCTAATATGCACTCGACTTCTTAACTTCTAGTTACACTAGTCTAACCATGAATCAAATTTTCCAACAAACCAACATGCTAGAAAGACAAGAGGGTGGAGATTGGTACGAGAAGGAATAGGAACAAAGTGCTTATTCTTGATTATAAAATGGCTGGAGTTTACCAAGTGAATTGTAAAATTTACTATTGGTGTTGTTCTTTTTTTTTTTTTTTAACCTACTGTTAGTTTCAAATCTGAAAGAAAATATCTATATATATAACGACAGTCGCAAGATAAATTGAATGTATTGCATGATTACCAGCAAGGATGTGGTTTATGAGCCATAAAGTAATTTGAGCATCTGTCAACATCTGAGACAACAAGAAATAAATGTAGAAGAAGAACATAGCGATTCCTTACACCTACTTTTAACAAAAAACAAGTGAGACACAGAAATATTTACCATGTTTTTCAAAAAGCTGTCTTTCCAACTTTCTAATAATTTAAACTTTCAATGGGAAGGTTGTACATACGACTTAAAAGCATCTGATTTCAAGCAATCTTTTTTCAAATTTTTTCTTTCATCCCAATGCACACCAAACACATACAACTCAATTTATCAAGAATCATGTTCTCAAGTTTCTCTCATCTTCAAAGTTCAAAGTTCAAAATTCAAAATTCAAAGTTCAAAGTTCATCCCAAATAGTAAAGATGTCACTACCTCTCTCTCTCGTCACTGTCCAATGTCCATTCACCATTGACATGATAGTGCGAAAAAACAAGGTGGGGTGGTGGGAAAAACGCGTGGATGCACAGTGGGTGAGCAAAACAAGAGAAATTTTGTGAGAGTTTTGAAGTTTGATCTAATGGCTAAGTTTTGTCAAATCTTTGGTTTCTTCATCATAAGTTATTTAGGGAAGGTGGGGGCCGGCATGAGAAGTGGCCATAAAAAGGTGCAGTGATTATGAGAGTACAATTCGACGTTAATGTGGACAGAACAGAAGGTGTAAGGACTGCCAATACTGCCAATGCCCACACCGAAATCACTGTATGTATTCCAAAGTTAATTAAATGGGTGTGGTGTGGTTGTGCTTGAGACTTGAGAGGCTCTGTTTTTCTAGTTCATTCAGGACTTTTCACAAACGTGTTCCTTTCATTATCTCTCGCTTGAATTGCAGGGTGTCCTTTTCTGCAATTTAATGTATTTTTCCTTCTGCTTTCCAATAGAGTTGCTGTCTCATATTGTATTGAACACGTTCATCAAGTTGTAAGAGATGGTGTTCTGTTCTTTGCTTGAACAACAACGACATCTTAGTCTACTCATAGCCACCCGAAATCAAGATTTATGTCCTTCCCCTAATAAACTTCTCTCGCTTTTAATTGCTCTCAGTTTATTCTCGAGTTCGTAGCGTTGGGTTGTTGATACATGAAGTGATGTTTTGATATGCTAGTAAATATTTTGTGTTAGATAAAAGTAGAATTTTCAATCCATGATTGCCTACCATTGGATTCCAATTCTAGGATCTACAATCCCCTAACAGATTCTATGAACAATCTATCAAACTCCCGTTAATCATAATATGTTATATGGTATATCTAAGCATTTGTCTCAACCCAATAAAAGTCCATAGGTCCTTTTTTCTATTGCCTATAATTTCTTGCTGTTTGTAGCCTTTGTGTTTTAATTGACGATAAACACTATTTTTTATTTATTCTGTTTATGATGGTTGAAAAACAAGAATGCACTTGTAAGTTGTATCTCTGTTTATAGGCTGAAAAGCAATTTCTTTTTAGATTTTATTTTAGACAAAGGAAATAAAATAGTAATAAAGAAACAGTGAGAATGTGCCAAGAGTAGTGTAAAAAAGTACCTATAAAAATGACAAAAGTATTCATAAACAAACAATATAGTGCAAAGTGTCTCGAAAGAGAACAATATAGTGAAAGTGATGTAGCTATTAAATAGGGAATCAGTATTCAGTCCTACAAAATTAGTAGTAGAGAAAATTCCAAAAAATAACACGCATTAAAAGAGAATAATGAAATATATATATATATATATTATTTAGATATTGAAAATGGTGTTCACCCTTTCAAAAATAAAGAAAGTTAGTTCTCTCTGTTTTTTTTTTTACTTTTTTCAAATTTATGAATTATGACTATTTTCATAAAAGTCATGATGAGAAGCCACACACAAAATATCCTCATCAAAGAAGGGTGTTTTTTTTCTTCATTATCAAATAAAAAAGGTACAACCTGAAATCAAAATGTCCAAACCCAATAAAAGTAAACACCTAATCACAAGATCTTTTTTTTTTTCTTTTCCAAAGAAGTGTTAACTTCTTCACTTAGATTTTAGATGAAATTAAAAATTTTTAAAGTTAATTTTGACTCACTAAATGAAAAGGAAAAAGTAAAGAATCAAATTTCCCAAATTAGAAAAGTTTTGAATAAGTGAAATCAATTATGGGTCATGAGACCATTCAGGGTCAGGTTATTCTTCCAACACCTGGGAATATAATCTCTCAAATAAAGGTAAGGAAATCAAAGGCCATACAATAATTAAAGAAATCTACCTCAATAAATCCTGTCCTGTTGCGTCGCATCATGGGCCCAAATAATACTCGAACAGCACCCACTTGAAAGCTAAGCTTCAATAGAGCCAAAATTACCATATGATTAAAAGATTTATCAACTGAAATATTAACTTCCTCGCCTATGAGACAGTGGCCGCTGTGAAAGAGACTCTGAAATGGAGATTTCAATGGTAAACAACAAAAAGGCACCATTCAATTCTAATTTCTAGCTCTAAATAATTGAGAAAGAAGATATGATAGTCCATATAATCTAGAGCTAACAGGTCCCATCAAAGAACCCCTTTGTTCTCACTTACTTTATAGGGACCTGTCATGATTTATAATGCACTAACCTATGATCAATAATTGCGATTAAGGAATCGAATCCATGGACCTGAATTTTTTATGATGCAAAAATTAACAATTCGCAGGCAGTTCAGAATGGACAAAGCCGAAAGGTAAAGAAAATATGTTCTCATATATAATAGTCGAATCAAACAAAAAGGGAGATGGAGGAAATGAAAGTGTTGAGATGACATGTGATTCACACATAATCAAACCAAAAAGGTTGATGAAATAGCAATGAGGTAGATATAATTGCTTCCACTCGCACGGATACTATTTCAGATAAGGAAACTACATGCTTGCTTATCCATTCTATGAGATGGTCAGCATACCTAATCAATGAGATGTGAAATTTGCTTAACATTGAAAAAGTCAAATTCGTAATACTTTGAACTTTAAAGTAACAAACTTTCTGTGCGTCTCAAAAATTTTATTCACATAATGACATTAGCTAATAACTTTTTGAAACTAAAACGTAACTAATCTATCTCAGATTACAACGTAACTTATCACTACTAAACAATGGCGACCATAGCTAATTGGGTTCTCTTTGCTTTTACCACACAGCTGAAGCTTCAAAGCAAGGAAATCTTAGCCGGCAAATTAAGCAGAGAACATCCGGTCCTATTTTTAAGTGCGTTTAACAAATACAAATTATCTGAACGGTAAGATTCATAGATAGATTATAAGATCCACAAACACCAATTATCTTAATGACTAGATTTATGTTTTACAATAATAAAGGCAAAAGACAAAAAATAGATCAAAGAAGACAATTTTCAAGTAGTCAAAACATGAAAAAGGACAAGGTACGCATCTGAACCGCAAATGCCATCCAGCGCAGCACAGATATTCCAGTCATTTTCTAACTTCTTTTAACTTTCACGCCTTCCTTTCGTTTGCACCACCACTTTGAACTTGGTCGAGGAGTCGTCATTTCAGCAATAGCTAAACCCTGTTTTTGGATTTCTCCATTGCTCTTGGGGCTACAGAAGAAAGCGGGACAAATGAGCACTATTACTTATCAACTACAATTTATAAGACGTGCATTAGATCGCACCCACAGAAGTGAAACAACTAATAGTGAATTAAAAGACAAGAGGGCTGGTACATGATGCAAATAAGTTACACATAATTGGTCCTAGGCTTGTATGGTTGAGATTGGAGAGTTTAGGTTCTCGCGTTTCGGAGATTGAAAGTATCTTCTATATGTATATTATATATAAGAATCTGATTTCACGACTTAAAGTAAAATAGAAAGTAGAAAGAAATAAGAATGAAACACTTTTAACTCCAAGGATATTTATGGCAGTAGATTCTTACGCCTCAAGTAACTCCAAGGGATAATGACATGTTTAAAGTACATACGAACTGTTACCAAATGAGATGAAGGAAACCCCAGATCCCGAATGAGAGAATGACATGAGTATATATTTATTTGTTATCATGCATAACTTAATTGTTTAGAACCACCACTAAGAACGGAGTCATGTTTGTAGTCTCAACTATCTTTCCCATCAGGCAAAAATGAGTTTCGGCAAAAATTCACCCTGCCTAGCAACTAAGTCTTGGCAGATGAAAACTATAGTTCTAGAAAAATCGACTTCTGAAATGTACCTAAGCCAATTGCATCAGAGCCCTTCATGATTTTCAGCCTCTTGCACGAATCAATGAACATCCTGCAATAAAGTCCATGAAATTTCATGCAGATTACTTTTCCCGAATCTTGAAACATCATTAAATAGAGTGGAAGGAAATTAATGGGAGAAATCTATGATAATACTGTGTTGGAGAGAAAGTACAACAAATAGCAAAACCTAGACATTACTTTCCAGATAAAAGGATGAAACTTCTAAAACATGTTCTACTTCAGTATAGTATTCTTGTTACATTACTCGAGTTCACATTGACAGACATAACAATGTAAATCAAATCATTTAAGTCAATAAACTTACTCCCAGGGGATTTCCCCAACAAGCATCCAGTCACCATCCCTATCCTCATATGTAAGCACATATTCGGATCCATGCAAATGATCCCTCAACTTGCTCTCACTCAGTATCTCTCTCCCTGGAGCTCCATGGGATCCACATTGACCTACAACAGGAGATCCATAGAAAAACACGGTGTTTTCATGATTCAAAATGACAGTGCAGATGTAGATCATAACCACCCATAATATCAATATTCTGAGTTAGAGAACGGGAAAACGTAAAATATTATTGAAGTCTCGTGGTAAAGGAAAGAAAAACAGAAGCTGACAGCATTAATTTGGAGACAATCAGCGTTTACCTATAGTAAAACAGCTAAACATCTTCTCAAGAGCAGAAGATAATTCCTGATACGTAGAGTAAGTTCTCAGATCTACTTTCCTCAAATATGGAGCGCCCTCCATGCTCACCTTGACAAAGAGGGCACCTGAACCTGGCTTTCCATCAACCTCATCATTGTTTTTAGCATTAGTGACCAAGGAATTCTTCCGGAATGATTTAATAGGCGGCCAACCAACAACCTGCGCCCTGTAAAGGAGAGTTAGCATTTTGTCATCAGGTGAACTCAAGTGACTCCTTTCCTAGTTAATACCATAGTTTCTGCTATCAAAATATTGTGGACCCATTTTCAACCAGTTTCACTTACTTTGAAGCTGGAGCATTGTTGTGGTCATTAGAGGCACCTTTCTGGCTATGGCCAGTTCCTTTAGTCTCACAAGGCCATTCCTGCAATCCCTTTGAGGGCAATTCTTGAGTCGCATTCAGCTGAGTTCCGGAAGGCCTTGACGATAGCATTACACTTAGCCCTGAATTAGCAGGAAACTTCCCTTGGCCCACAGGATATGGAGAGTCAGAATCAGAATTAGCTGCATGAAACATCCAATTTCTTTCAGCATAAAGGGGACCTTTCACCTCTGAGTACCCCTCCATGGTATCAGAGAAACCTCTTTTGTTGCCAGAAACAATATTCTTCTGTGATGCAACACAATACCCATCCTTTGAATGAAGCAATTGAAATAGGGGTTTCTCATCAGGTTTTCCAGAGCTCATCAAGCTAAATTCCTGTTCTCGTTCAGGTGACAGAGATCCAGGAAGACCAAGTCTCAATTCTGTAGCTTTTAAATTGAGATTGCTTTTGTTCTCCTCTGACAAGTTTGACACAGCAGAGCTGTCCACTGAAGAACAGGGTGATAGCCGAAGGTAGTTGCGCTCTCTAAATTTGGTACCATTTTGGGATAGACAGTCCATAGAAGGTGAAGCAGCCACTACAGGGACATTGCCAAGAGCCTCCTCTTCAGGATTGAGCAGTGGTGGTGACATTGGCCTTCGAATATCTCAATGAGTTCAGGTTGAAACTTGAAACAATATAATTAAAAGATTTTATTGCCTGAAATAAGCAAATCTACATCAATATTATACAAAGATAAAAGCTAAAAAGGTGAAAACTTAACTAAAAAGGAAACTCAATAGTTTTTAAGGCAAATAGGATCCACTTTTAATGGCTTAAAAAAGGTACGATAAGCAGTATTGTTACATTAGCAGAGCTGAACAAACTGTTCAGGTAATCGGTCAACAGTTACTAAAAATTAATGGATCATGGGATCAATCTCCTTTCTTCTGATTAAAAGTCAAAGATCCCTCATACAAGTCTATTAACATCAGATTTTAGAAAATTATTGAGGAGTTTTCTTCTTCAAGACCAACAGTTAAGTAGCATTTGATGCAGATGCTATGGCCCTGAATACATTGCAAAAGTAACGTGACTTTTAACTTTAACACCACAAGAAAAACCCGATTGCATGGCTTGATTCAGAAACAAAAGCCAGGGAATGAAGCAAGCGAAAAACAGAAGCACATACCAGAAGCTTTTGACCCCAATGAGGGGTAAAAGGATAGAAAACCAACAAATAAACTGTGAAACACAAGTCTGTTTTCTCGAAACGGAAAGATTAAAAGAAATTAGTCAATATGACTTTCTTATTTTCAAATAAGGACAAATAGAAATTGTCGACACGCTTATTCAAAGAGAGGACCAGAAATCAGCAAGTGGTAACATAGCAGTAGTTCGCTTAAAGCTCACTTTTCACTTCGTTAAAACAGTGCGGTGAAAGTGAAGGTGCATCTTCCAGCTCCACCTCTTTTTTCCTTCAATATTCTCAGTGACACAACGCACAGAAAGAAAGAGAAAGGAAACTCAAGAACTCACCTCCGGCTAGACACGAACAAAAGGACATGGATTCCGAACATAGCGAAGCTCATTGCAAGGGTACAAAAGAGGAATATAAACAAGCAGCTGAAAGAAGAACATCAAAAGGACGGAAGAAGACTGTAGAGTTACCTACAAGGTCTCGCAGATCAAAGCCGAGGATCGTGAGGCTGATTAATTTGCTGTCTGGGCGAAAGAAAAAATTTGCAGGAACCGCAGAGAGAGAGAGAGAGAGTTTAAGGGCCTTCCATTAAGCAGAAAGCAACAAAAGAGTATTGTGTGTTTGTTCCCCGAGAAACTCGAAGCTCGGAAATTAAAAAAGAGCGAAGGGCAAACTGGAAAATATGTCTAAAAACTCTGTCCATTTTCTTTCTATTTATTTTATCTTTTTTTTTTTTTAATTTCGTCAGTATTAACGTACAAGTTAATAATGATTAAATCCGATAAATTATATCGAATAATATTAAATTAAATAGAGGGTAAAAGTTCAATTCCTCCGCTTGCAATTTCGTCCATTTCAGACTTTTCTAATTTGGTAGGCGTAGAAGTTGGAGATTGTAATGTTGAATAGTTACAACATTTAAATTATAAATTTAAACATAGTGTAATTAATATTCCCAATTTATTTAAAGTTGAACTTCAGTTTCTATTATTTGTAAGATTTGTGACCGGTTATAAGTATGATTTGTATGATATTGTTTTTTAGATAGTTTTTTTTTTTTTTATACATGTGGAGGCGGGAGATTGAATTCACAATCTTGTGGTTTGAGATATATGTCAATTAACATGAAACTAGGCTCGCTTTACCTCTGTTGATGTTAGTTATTCTGATTATACAAGGTGTTTTTAATTATTCGAATTTACGTATGTTATGGCTAAGCTTGTACGTTTTTTTTATATGCTTCATTTTAGGGTTAAGTTTGAATATTTTCGTGACATGATTTGTGGTGTTTTGTTGATTGAATTTTGTATGATTAATTAGTTGATTTATACGAATTTTTATAATATAATTTTGATAAGTTATTAATTACCATACTCACTCATTGCTCATTCTTTTTGAAAGTATCCGAGAGAAAATATCAATCAAATTCTTGAAATAAATTGCTATTTTAGATGGTTTACAACATGTTCAAATATGAGAAGCCCCTGAACTTACATTGAAACTAATTCAGTGAAAATGTGGTAAGATTGCTGAACAATGAAGTATCTCATCTCACATTTGTTGAATCATTAAGGTTAAATTCAGACATTGATGCATTAAATTGAAGTGATTTCTATTGGGAAAATCAAAAGAGATTCAAACAATTTAGTTCATGAAATCTCCAGGAGAGCCTTTGAATTTGATGACAGTTGGGTTTGGGGCTTTGACACCCCCTATTTTGTCTGCTTTTTTACAACAAATGTTGATTTTGATTATGACTCGCTGTCAAGAAGTAGATGGTTAAGTTTTTAACTTATCCCTAAATTGAATTTTAAATAATCAAAAATTAATTTAATAACATATATTTTAGTGCGTGTTTGGTATAGTTTTTGAAGATTAAAAAATATAACCTTTTTTAATAAAATTTTTAAAAAAGTTTACTAATTTAAAATATATTTAAGATGTATTTGAAAATACTTGTCATTTTTTTAAATCACTGGGTAAAATATTACTCTTTTAAATAGAAGTCATTTCATAATTGTAGTTATGCTAAAATGAGTTCCAAATTTGAATTATAAGTAATTTTAGAGAATAACATATGCAAAATTTACTCTCAACTACGTCTACTTTGATATTATTTATTTTGTAGAATTAGATGATTACATAAAAATATATAGTATTTGTAATAAATAAATACAAATTTAAAAGACAAGATCGGCTTAATGCTGATAAGAAACTTTGAAATTACCAAACATGTGATCAATTCTATTGTCGCTTTTTAAAAATTAAAAAATCAATTACTTAAAACATCAATAAAGGAAAGTTGAAAATAATCGACATATTTATTTCGTAGGTTGAAGAAAGTCAAAGAAAAACCTGGCGGGGTTTGATTCGCTGTATGGAACCTTCTTGATACCCACAGAAACATATACCATACACTGTATCCCTTTTTCCCAATAATAATTAAATTAAATTATAAATAAATAAATAAATAATTCTCCTCTGAATTATAAATTCGGGGCGACTCCAAATATGCGCTTGTCCGCGCCAAAATCTCCACTTTACCCTTCTGCACCACATTTCAACTTTCCCTCTAATATTCATTTAGCGAAAAATATTTTTTTTAACTAATTTTAATAACTTTCACTTTTATCAAATTAAACACATAATAATTTTTTTTACCATTTATTTAATTATTTTATTAATTTAAAAAATAATTAAAGAAACTAAAAAATATATATATTAATTTACTGGAAACTATATATTAAATTAAGTTGGATTAATGTACAAAATAAATCGTTAAATAATTTTGTAAAAATTTATAAATTTCAACCACAAAAAGTTAATCATGGTATGGTATTTGTCTGATCCTATAAATTTGATACCAAATGTATATTTTATAATTAATTGATGTAAATGAGAATACTTTTTTTCAATATTTCTTCAAATAAAAAATTATTATAGAGTAAAATTTGCTAAAACTTTCAAAGTTGTGAATAGAGTACCATTATCAAAATTTAAAGTGCAGTTTTAGGCAGTTGAAAGTTTGTAATACTTGCTAAAAATTTGATCATTTCTTTCTCTCCATTTTAATATTGACTGTGCCTATTGATTATATTTAGTTTGTTAACTGCTTGATGTTTGGTGTAATTAATTAAAGCCTTCTTTTAATGGTAATTGAGTGTAAATTGTAATAACTAAACAAATATTTTTATGTTTAAGTGTATCAAATTTGGTTTTTATGTTCGTTACAATGATTTAATAAATTGATAAACCTACTAAAACACTAAACAATATATTTGTTTATTTAATAAAAAATATTGAATCATGGTTTAGTATTAAGCTTTTATTTCATGCCTAATTGATTAGAGTTGTTGAGAGTAAAACTCGTAAAATATTATTAACATTGTGGATATATCGAAATATTTAGCATGAGTATATTGTTTTTATATTGGAATTGTCGCCCTAAATGAGTATAATTGAATTATTATTATTATTTTTTAATATGATTATATTTGAATTATGTAAGATGGTAATCAACTTTTTTATACATTGTAGGTTTAATTTCTTTWATTTTTGTTTGAATTGTAATTTTTGTAAGTATTAAAATATTGAAATAGTTGAATGTACGCCCATCTGTTTGATTATTTGAAGAAAAAAATTATTTATCGAGTAAAATGACAAGTTAGACATCGTGTAGAAATATAGGTRGGTAAATGATGACAAAAGTTGTAGCACGTTAACTTTAAATGAAATAAATTCTAGTAATGTTATAATTAAAATGTTGAAGTTCTGCGAAAAAATCAAAACAAAAAGTGAATTAAAGAAAATATGTAGAGTTTGGTGCAATAAATACAACTAAGGTGATACTGCTGTTTAGGAATAAAGTAGGAGAAAAGTAATAAAAAAATRTAATAATAATAATAAAACAACAAATATATACATATAGATTAACGGTGGATGGAACTTCAACATTTGACATTGCAGAAGTTAGGAGTACATTACTGATTTAATAAGTATTTATGATTTTTGTTCCCTAAAACTACTTCCATTAATATTGCAGTTGAAATCGTCTCTTGAATTAATTCTATGCTAGTTTTGATTGGCAGGCGTGATGTCAGTGAAAAATCGTTTGTCTAAAAGCAAGTTTAAATCAACCGATGATTTATCCAATATAATTTTAAAATAGTTTTATTTGGTGGAATGGTTTTATGGTTCTGATGGTATTTCTAAGGTCAGGATCAAGGAGTCTAAGCTAGATACATTACTTTTATAATTATTTTGTAATTTTTCTTCATTTAGAAAAATATATTTCCTTGTTATGAATTTGATCGTCAACGTGTCATACTAAAAAATATATTATTTCTGCGTGACGATATAAATATATATTATGAACAGATAAAAAAATTGTTGATATATTTATTTTGTTGTTTTCATTAAATTGATTTTAAATTAAGTCTACTTATTGTTGTTCGTTATTATTATTTGATGAGTTAACTCGAAAATACAATTTCATACATAGTAGAGTGAAAATAACATTATTTTTTTAAAAATGATTCTCAACTCCCATTCAAATGTCCACGTTCATTTTTATTTTTATTTTACCAATATTATAACAATCAAAATCCTCGAACTCCATACAATTATTATGACCAATCCAAATATTTTACATTTTTCAAAGTTGAGACGTCTATCTGACATCCATTTGAAAATTAAATTTGGCAACCATTAACATTATATATAATATTTTTTGTAGTACAATTCAAATTCAGACATTTAACAAAAAAAAAAAAATTAAATAATTGAACTACGTCAAATTTGCATTTAAATTTATAGGAGTAGAAAAAT